GACTACTTCTACGTTGTACTGTTTAACACAAATTTTGGAATCATCACATAAGTAATGTGCGCCAACATTGATATCAACAACAGACGTTTACTGTCTCAATGAAACTGACAAATAATTCAAAATTAGTCCAAATAGAGAAATTGTGTTTATTGCTACACTTGCAATTCCAGTATACATACCCTAAATAGACGTAGTCGACAGGATGCGAACCTGCTTGGGCAGAGCCCAATGGATTTCTAGTCCATCGCCTTAACCACTCGGCCACGACTACTGCTATGATGTACTGTTTAACACAGCAATGGGATCGACAAATTTTGGAATCATCACATAAGAAATGTGCGCCAACATTGATATCAACATCAGACGTTTACTGTCTCAATGAAACTGACAAATAATTCAAAATTAGTCCAAGTAGAGAAATTGTGTTTATTGCTACACTTGCATTTCGAGTATACATACATACCCTAAATAGACGTAGTCGGCAGGATTCGAACCAGCGCGGGCAGAGCCCAATGGATTTCTAGTCCATCGCCTTAACCACTCGGCCACGACTACTGCTATGTTGTACTGTTTAACACAGCAATGGGATCGACAAATTTTGGAATCATGACATAAGTAATGTGTGCCAACATTGATATCAACAACAAATGTTTACTGTCTCAATGACACTTTCAAATAATTCAAAATTAGGCTATATAAGGGAATTGTGTTTATTGCTACACTTGCATTTCGAGTATACATACCCTAAATAGACGTAGTCGGCAGGATTCGAACCTGCACAGGCGGAGCCCAATGGATTTCTAGTCCATCGCCTTAACCACTCGGCCACGACTACTGCTATGATGTACTGTTTAACACAGCAATGGGATCGACAAATTTTGGAATCATCACATAAGTAATGTGCGCCAACATTGATATCAACAATAGACGTTTACTGTCTCAATGAAACTTTCAAATAATTCAAAATTAGTCAAAGTAGAGAAATTGTGTTTATTGCTACACTTGCAATTCCAGTATACATACCCTAAATAGACGTAGTCGGCAGATGCGAACCTGCTTGGGCAGAGCCCAATGGATTTCTAGTCCATCGCCTTAAACACTCGGCCACGACTACTGCTATGATGTACTGTTTAACACAGCAATGGGATCGACAAATTTTAGAAGCGCCAACATTGATATCAACAACAGACGTTTATTGTCTCAATGAAACTGTCAAATAATTCAAAATTAGGCCATATAAGGGAATTGTGTTTATTGCTACACTTGCATTTCGAGTATACATACCTAAACAGACGTAGTCGGCAGGATTCGAACCAGTGCAGGCAGAGCCCAATGGATTTCTAGTACATCGCCTTAACCACTCGGCCACGACTACTGCTAGGTTGTACTATTTAACACAGCAACGGGATCGACAAATTTTGGAATCATCACATAAGTAATGTACGCCAACATTGATGCCAACAATAGACGTTTACTGTCTCAATGAAACTTTCAAATAATTCAAAATTAGGCCAAGTAGAGAAATTGTGTTTATTGGTACACTTGCATTTCGAGTATACATACCCTAAATAGACTTAGTCGGCAGGATTCGAACCTGCGCGGGCAGAGCCCAATGGATTTCTAGTCCATCGCCTTAACCACTCGGCCACGACTACTGCTATGTTGTACTGTTTAACACAGCAATGGGATCGACAAATTTTGGAATCATCACATAAGTAATGTGCGCCAACATTGATATCAACAATAGACGTTTACTGTCTCAATATGAAACTTTCAAATAATTCAAAATTAGGCCATATAAGGGAATTGTGTTTATTGCTATACTTGCATTTCGAGTATACATACCTAAACAGACGTAGTCGGCAGGATTCGAACCAGCGCGGGCAGAACCCAATGGATTTCTAGTACATCGCCTTAACCACTCGGCCACAACTACGACTATGTTGTACTATTTTACACAACAATGAGATCGACAAATTTTGGAATAATCACATAAGTTATGTGCGCCAACATTGATATCAACAAGAGATGTTTACTGTCTCAATGACACTTTCAAATAATTCAAAATTAGGCTATATAAGGGAATTGTGTTTATTGCTACACTTGCATTTCGAGTATACATACCCTAAATAGACGTAGTCGGAAGGATTCGAACCTGCGCGGGCAGAGCCCAATGCATTTCTAGTCCATCGCCTTAACCACTCGGCCACGACTACTGCTATGATGTACTGTTTAACAGAGCAATGGGATCGACAAATTTTGGAATCATCACATAAGTAATGTCCGCCAACATTGATATCAACAATAGATGTTTACTGTCTCAATGAAACTGTCAAATAATTCAAAATTAGTCCAAGTAGAGAATTTGTGTTTATTGCTACACTTGCATTTCGAGTATACATACCCTAAATAGACGTAGTCGGAAGGATTCGAACCTGTGCGGGCAGAGCCCAATGGATTTCTAGTACATCGCCTTAACCACCCGGCCACAACAACGACTATGTTGTACTATTTTACACAACAATGGGATCGACGAATTTTGAAATAATCACATAAGTAATGTGCACCAGCAATGATATCAACAACAGATGTTTACTGTCTCAATGACACTTTCAAATAATTCAAAATTAGGCTATATAAGGGAATTGTGTTTATTGCTACACTTGCATTTCGAGTATACATACCCTAAATAGACGTAGTCGGCAGGATTCGAACCTGCGCGGGCGGAGCCCAATGGATTTTTAGTCCATCGCCTTAACCACTCGGCCACGACTACTGATATGTTGTACTGTTTAACACAGCAATGGGATCGACAAACTTTGGAAGCGCCAACATTGATATCAACAACAGACGTTTACTGTCTCAATGAAACTGTCAAATAATTCAAAATTAGTGCAAGTAGAGAAATTGTGTTTATTGCTACACTTGCATTTCGAGTATACATACCCTAAATAGACGTAGTCAGCAGGATTCGAACTTGCGCAGGCAGAGCCCAATGGATTTCTAGTCCATCGCCTTAACCACTCGGCCACGACTACTGCTATGTTGTACTGTTTAACACAGCAATGGGATCGACAAATTTTGGAATCATCACATAAGTAATGTCCGCCAACATTGATATCAACAATATATGTTTACTGTCTCAATGAAACTGTCAAATAATTCAAAATTAGTCCAAGTAGAGAATTTGTGATTATTGCTACACTTGCATTTCGAGTATACATACCCTAAATAGACGTAGTCGGAAGGATTCGAACCTGTGCGGGCAGAGCCCAATGGAGTTCTAGTACATCGCCTTAACCACCCGGCCACGACAACGACTATGTTGTACTATTTTACACAACAATGGGATCGACGAATTTTGAAATAATCACATAAGTAATGTGCGCCAACATTGATATCAACAAGAGATGTTTACTGTCTCAATGACACTTTCAAATAATTCAAAATTAGGCTATATAAGGGAATTGTGTTTATTGCTACACTTGCATTTCGAGTATACATACCCTAAATAGACGTAGTCGGCAGGATTCGAACCTGCGCGGGAGGAGCCCAATGGATTTCTAGTCCATCGCCTTAACCACTCGGCCACGACTACTGCTATGATGTACTGTTTAACACAGCAATGGGATCGACAAATTTTAGAAGCACCAACATTGATATCAACAACAGACGTTTACTGTCTCAATGAAACTGTCAAATAATTCAAAATTAGGCCATATAAGGGAATTGTGTTTATTGCTACACTTGCATTTCGAGTATACATACCTAAACAGACGTAGTCGGCAGGATTCGAACCAGTGCAGGCAGATCCCAATGGATTTCTAGTACATCGCCTTAACCACTCGGCCACGACTACTGCTATGTTGTACTATTTAACACAGCAATGGGATCGCAAAATTTGCAATGATCACGTAAGTAATGTGCGCCAACATTGACATCAATATTAGACGGTTACTGTCTCAATGAAACTGTCAAATAATTCAAAATTAGTCCAAGTAGATAAATTGTGTTTATTGCTACACTTGCATTTCGAGCTTACAGGACGTAGTCGACATTATTCGAACCTGCGCTGGCAGAGCCCAATGGATTTCTAGTCCATCCGCCACGACTACTGCTAAGTTGTACTGTTTAACACAGCAATGGGATCGACAAATTTTGGAATCATCGCATAAGTAATGTGCGCCAACATTGACATCAATATTAGACGTTTACTGTCTGAATGAAACTTTCAAATAATTCAAAATTAGGCTATATAAGGGAATTGTGTTTATTGCTACACTTGCATTACGAGTATACATACCCTAAATAGACGTAGTCGGCAGGATTCGACCCTGGGCGGGCAGAGCCCAATGGATTTCTAGTCCATCGCCTTAACCACTCGGCCACGACTACTGCTATGTTGTACTGTCCAACACAGCAATGAAATCGACGAATTTTGGAATCATCACATAAGTAATGTGCGCCAACATTGATATCAACAATAGACGTTTACTGTCTGAATGAAACTTTCAAATAATTCAATATTAGGCCAAGTAGAGAAATTGTGTTTATTGCTACACTTGCATTTCGAGTAAACATACCCTAAATATACGCAGTCAGCAGGATTCGAACCTGCGCGGACAGAGCCCAATGGCTTTCTAGTCCATCGCCTTAACCACTCGGCCACGACTACTGCTATGTTGTCCTGTTCAACACTGCAATGGGATCGACGAATTTTGGAATCATCACATAAGTAATGTGCGCCAACATTGATATCAACAATAGACGTTTACTGTCTTAATGATACTGTCAAATAATTCAAAATTAGGCTATATAAGGGAATTGTGTTTATTGCTACACTTGCATTTCGAGTATACACACCATAAATAGACGTAGTCAGCAGGATTTTAACCTGCACGGGCAGAGCCCAATGGCTTTCTAGTCCATCGCCTTAACCACTCGCCCACGACTACTGCTATGTTGTACTGTTTAACACAGCAATGGGATCGACAAATTTTGGAATCATCACGTAAGTAATGTGCGCAAACATATCAACAATAGACATTTACTGTCTCAATGAAACTTTCAAATTATTCAAAATTATGCCAAGTAGAGAAATTGTGTTTATTGCTACACTTGCATTTCGAGTATACATACCCTAAATCCTCGTAGTCGGGAGGATTCGAACCTGCACGGGCAGAGTCCAATGGATTTCTAGTCCATCGCCTTAACCACTCGGCCACGACTACTGCTATGTCGTACTGTTTAACACAGCAATGGGATCGACAAATTTTTGAATCATCACATAAGTAATGTGCGCCAACGTTGATATCAACAATAGAAGGTTACTGTCTCAATGAAACTGTCAAATAATTCAAAATTAGGCTATATAAGGGAATTGTGTTTATTGCTACACTTGCATTTCGAGTATACATACCCTAAATACTCGTAGTCGGCAGGATTCGAACCTGCACGGGCAGAGCCCAATGGATTTCTAGTCCATCGCCTTAACCACTCTGCCACGACTACTTCTATGTTGTACTTTTTAACACAGCAATGGGATCGAAAAATTTTGGAGTCATCACATAAGTAATGTGCGCCAACATTGATATCAACAATAGACGTTTACTGACTCAATGAAACTTTCAAATAATTCAAAATTAGGCTATATAAGGGAATTGTGTTTATTGCTACACTTGCATTTCGAGTATACATACCCTAAATAGACGTAGTCGGCAGGATTCGAAACTGCGCGGGCATAGCCCAATGGATTTCTAGTCCATCGCCTTAACCATTCGGCCACGACTACTGTTATGTTGTACTTTTTAACACAGCAATGGGATCGATAAATTTTGGAGTCATCACATAAGTAATGTGCGCCAACATTGATATCAACAATAGACGTTTACTGTCTGATGAAACTTTCAAATAATTCAATATTAGGCCAAGTAGAGAAATTGTGTTTATTGCTACACTTGCATTTCAAGTAAACATACCCTAAATATACGCAGTCAGCAGGATTCGAACCTGCGCGGGCAGAGCCCAATGGCTTTCTAGTCCATCGCCTTAACCACTCGGCCACGACTACTGCTATGTTGTCCTGTTCAACACTGCAATGGGATCGACGAATTTTGGAATCATCACATAAGTAATGTGCGCCAACATTGATATCAACAATAGACGTTTACTGTCTTAATGATACTGTCAAATAATTCAAAATTAGGCTATATAAGGGAATTGTGTTTATTGCTACACTTGCATTTCGAGTATACACACCATAAATAGACGTAGTCAGCAGGATTTTAACCTGCACGGGCAGAGCCCAATGGCTTTCTAGTCCATCGCCTTAACCACTCGCCCACGACTACTGCTATGTTGTACTGTTTAACACAGCAATGGGATCGACAAATTTTGGAATCATCACGTAAGTAATGTGCGCAAACATATCAACAATAGACATTTACTGTCTCAATGAAACTTTCAAATTATTCAAAATTATGCCAAGTAGAGAAATTGTGTTTATTGCTACACTTGCATTTCGAGTATACATACCCTAAATCCTCGTAGTCGGGAGGATTCGAACCTGCACGGGCAGAGTCCAATGGATTTCTAGTCCATCGCCTTAACCACTCGGCCACGACTACTGCTATGTCGTACTGTTTAACACAGCAATGGGATCGACAAATTTTTGAATCATCACATAAGTAATGTGCGCCAACGTTGATATCAACAATAGAAGGTTACTGTCTCAATGAAACTGTCAAATAATTCAAAATTAGGCTATATAAGGGAATTGTGTTTATTGCTACACTTGCATTTCGAGTATACATACCCTAAATACTCGTAGTCGGCAGGATTCGAACCTGCACGGGCAGAGCCCAATGGATTTCTAGTCCATCGCCTTAACCACTCGGCCACGACTACTGCTATGTCGTACTGTTTAACACAGCAATGGGATCGACAAATTTTGGAATCATCACATTAGTAATGTGCGCCAACATTGACATCAACAATAGACGTTTACTGTCACAATGATACTGTCAAATAATTCAAAATTAGGCTATATAAGGGAATTGTGTTTATTGCTACACTTGCATTTCGAGTATACATACCCTAAATACTCGTAGTCGTCAGGATTCGAACCTGCACGGGCAGAGTCCAATGGATTTCTAGTCCATCGCCTTAACCACTCGCCCACGACTACTGCTATGTTGTACTGTTTAACACAGCAATGGGATCGACAAATTTTGGAATCATCACATAAATAATGTGCGCCAACATTGATATCAACACTGTACTGTTTAACACAGCAATGGGATCGACAAATTTTGGAATCACCACATAAGTAATGTGCGCCAACATTGGCATCAACAACAGACGTTTACTGTCTCAATGAAACTTTCAAATAATTCAAAATAAGGCCATATATGGGAATTGTGTTTAATGCTACACTTGTATTTCGAGTATATATACCATAAATAGACGTAGTCGGCAGGATTCGAACCTGCGCGGGCAGAGCCCAATGGATTTCTAGTCCATCGCCTTAACCACTCGGCCACGACTACTGCTCTGCTGTACTGTTTAACACAGCAATGGGATCGACAAATTTGGAGTCATCACATAAGTAATGTGCGCCAACATTGATATCAACAATAGATGTTTACTGTCTTAATGAAACTTTCAAATAATTCAAAAATAGGCTATATAAGGGAATTGTGTTTATTGCTACACTTGCATTTCGAGTATACTTACCCTAAATAGACGTAGTCGGCAGGATTCGAATCTGCGCGGGCAGAGCCCAATGGATTTCTAGTCCATCGCCTTAACCTTAACCTTACTGCTATGCTGTACTGTTTAACACAGCAATGGGATCAAAAAGTTTTGGAGTCATCACATAAGTAATGTGCGCCAACATTGATATCAACAATAGATGTTTACTGTCTCAATGAAACTTTCAAATAATTCAAAATTAGGCCAAGTCGAGAAATTGTGTTTATTGCTACACTTGCATTTCGAGTATACATACCCTAAATAGACGTAGTCAGCAGGATTCGAACCTGCGTTGGCAGAGCCCAATGGATTTTCAGTCCATCGCCATAACCACCCGGCCACGACTACTGCTATGTTGTACTGTTTAACACAGCAATGGGATCGACAAATTTTGGAGTCATCACATAAGTAATGTGCGCCAACATTGATATCAACAACAGACGTTTAATGTCTCAATGAAACTGTCAAATAATTCAAAATTAGGCTATATAAGGGAATTGTGTTTATTGCTACACTTGCATTTCGCGTATACATACCCTAAATACTCGTAGTCGGTAGGATTCGAACCTGCACGGGCAGAGCCCAATGGATTTCTAGTCCATCGCCTTAACCATTCGGCCACGACTACTGCTATGTTGTACTGTTTAACACAGCAATGGGATCAACAAATTTTGGAATCATCACATAAGTAATGTGCGCCAACATTGATATCAACACTGTACTGTTTAACACAGCAATGGGATCGACAAATTTTGGAATCACCACATAAGTAATGTGCGCCAACATTGGCATCAACAACAGACGTTTACTGTCTCAATGAAACTTTCAAATAATTCAAAATAAGGCCATATAAGGGAATTGTGTTTAATGCTACACTTGCATTTCGAGTATACATACCATAAATAGACGTAGTCGGCAGGATTCGAACCTGCGCGGGCAGAGCCCAATGGATTTCTAGTCCATCGCCTTAACCACTCGGCCACGACTACTGCTCTGCTGTACTGTTTAACACAGCAATGGGATCGACAAATTTGGAGTCATCACATAAGTAATGTGCGCCAACATTGATATCAACAATAGATGTTTACTGTCTTAATGAAACTTTCAAATAATTCCAAAATAGGCTATATAAGGGAATTGTGTTTATTGCTACACTTGCATTTCGAGTATACTTACCCTAAATAGACGTAGTCGGCAGGATTCGAACCTGCGCGGGCAGAGCTCAATGGATTTCTAGTCCATCGCCTTAACCACTCGGCCACGACTACTGCTATGCTGTACTGTTTAACACAGCAATGGGATCAAAAAATTTTGGAGTCATCACATAAGTAATGTGCGCCAACATTGATATCAACAATAGATGTTTACTGTCTCAATGAAACTTTCAAATAATTCAAAATGAGGCCAAGTCTAGAAATTGTGTTTAATGCTACACTTGCATTACGAGTATACATACCCTAAATAGACGTAGTCAGCAGGATTCGAACCTGCGCGGGCAGAGCCCAATGGCTTTCTAGTCCATCGCCTTAACCACTCGGCCACGACTACTGCTATGTTGTAATGTTTAACACAGCAATGGGATCGACAAATTTTGGAATCATCACATAAGTAATGTGCGCCAACATTGATATCAACAATAGACGTTTACTGTCTGAATGAAACTTTCAAATAATTCAATATTAGGCCAAGTAGAGAAATTGTGTTTATTGCTACACTTGCATTTCGAGTAAACATACCCTAAATATACGTAGTCAGCAGGATTCGAACCTGCGCGGGCAGAGCCCAATGGATTTCTAGTCCATCGCCTTAACCACTCTGCCACGACTACTGCTATGTTGTACTGTTTAACACAGCAATGGGATCGATACATTTTGGAATCATCACATAAGTAATGTGCGCCAACATTGATATCAACAATAGACGTTTACTGACTCAATGAAACTTTCAAATAATTCAAAATTAGACTATATAAGGGAATTGTGTTTAATGCTACACTTGCATTACGAGTATACATACCCTAAATAGACATAGTCGGCAGGATTCAAACCTGCGCGGGCAGAGCCCAATGGATTTCTAGTCCATCGCCTTAACCACTCTGCCACGACTACTGCTATGTTGTACTGTTTAACACAGCAATGGGATCGATACATTTTGGAATCATCACATAAGTAATGTGCGCCAACATTGATATCAACAATAGACGTTTACTGACTCAATGAAACTTTCAAATAATTCAAAATTAGGCTATATAAGGGAATTGTGTTTATTGCTACACATGCATTTCGAGTAAACTTACCCTAAATAGACGTAGTCGGCAGGATTCGAAACTGCGCGGGCAGAGTCCAATGGATTTCTAGTCCATCGCCTTAACTATTCGGCCACGACTACTGCTATGTTGTACTGTTTAACACAGCAATGGGATCGCAAAATTTTGCAATGATCACGTAAGTAATGTGCGCCAACATTGACATCAATATTAGACGGTTACTGTCTCAATGAAACTGTCAAATAATTCAAAATTAGTCCAAGTAGATAAATTGTGTTTATTGCTACACTTGCATTTCGAGCTTACAGGACGTAGTCGACATTATTCGAACCTGCGCTGGCAGAGCCCAATGGATTTCTAGTCCATCCGCCACGACTACTGCTAAGTTGTACTGTTTAACACAGCAATGGGATCGACAAATTTTGAAATCATCGCATAAGTAATGTGCGCCAACATTGACATCAATATTAGACGTTTACTGTCTGAATGAAACTTTCAAATAATTCAAAATTAGGCTACATAAGGGAATTGTGTTTATTGCTACACTTGCATTACGAGTATACATACCCTAAATAGACGTAGTCGGCAGGATTCGACCCTGGGCGGGCAGAGCCCAATGGATTTCTAGTCCATCGCCTTAACCACTCGGCCACGACTACTGCTATGTTGTACTGTCCAACACAGCAATGAAATCGACGAATTTTGGAATCATCACATAAGTAATGTGCGCCAACATTGATATCAACAATAGACGTTTACTGTCTGAATGAAACTTTCAAATAATTCAATATTAGGCCAAGTAGAGAAATTGTGTTTATTGCTACACTTGCATTTCGAGTAAACATACCCTAAATATACGCAGTCAGCAGGATTCGAACCTGCGCGGGCAGAGCCCAATGGCTTTCTAGTCCATCGCCTTAACCACTCGGCCACGACTACTGCTATGTTGTCCTGTTCAACACTGCAATGGGATCGACGAATTTTGGAATCATCACATAAGTAATGTGCGCCAACATTGATATCAACAATAGACGTTTACTGTCTTAATGATACTGTCAAATAATTCAAAATTAGGCTATATAAGGGAATTGTGTTTATTGCTACACTTGCATTTCGAGTATACACACCCTAAATAGACGTAGTCAGCAGGATTTTAACCTGCACGGGCAGAGCCCAATGGCTTTCTAGTCCATCGCCTTAACCACTCGCCCACGACTACTGCTATGTTGTACTGTTTAACACAGCAATGGGATCGACAAATTTTGGAATCATCACGTAAGTAATGTGCGCAAACATATCAACAATAGACATTTACTGTCTCAATGAAACTTTCAAATTATTCAAAATTATGCCAAGTAGAGAAATTGTGTTTATTGCTACACTTGCATTTCGAGTATACATACCCTAAATACTCGTAGTCGTCAGGATTCGAACCTGCACGGGCAGAGTCCAATGGATTTCTAGTCCATCGCCTTAACCACTCGCCCACGACTACTGCTATGTTGTACTGTTTAACACAGCAATGGGATCGACAAATTTTGGAATCATCACATAAGTAATGTGCGCAAACATATCAACAATAGACATTTACTGTCTCAATGAAACTTTCAAATAATTCAAAATTATGCCAAGTAGAGAAATTGTGTTTATTGCTACACTTGCATTTCCAGTATACATACCCTAAATACTCGTAGTCGGCTGGATTCGAACCTGCACGGGCAGAGCCCAATGGATTTCTAGTCCATCGCCTTAACCACGCGGCCACGACTACTGCTGTGTTGTACTGTTTAACACAGCAATGGGATCGACAAATTTTTGAATCATCACATAAGTAATGTGCGCCAACATTGATATAAACAATAGACGTTTACTGTCTCAATGATACTGTCAAATAATTCATAATTATGCTATATAAGGGAATTGTGTTTATTGCTACACTTGCATTTCGAGTATACATACCCTAAATAGAAGTAGTCAGCAGGATTCGAACGTGCGCGGGCTGAGCCCAATGGCTTTCTCGTCCATCGCCTTAACCACTCGGCCACGACTACTGCTATGTTGTACTGTTTAACACAGCAATGGGATCGACAAATTTTGGAATCATCACATAAATAATGTGCGCCAACATTGATATCAACACTGTACTGTTTAACACAGCAATGGGATCGACAAATTTTGGAATCACCACATAAGTAATGTGCGCCAACATTGGCATCAACAACAGACGTTTACTGTCTCAATGAAACTTTCAAATAATTCAAAATAAGGCCATATAAGGGAATTGTGTTTAATGCTACACTTGCATTTCGAGTATACATACCATAAATAGACGTAGTCGGCAGGATTCGAACCTGCGCGGGCAGAGCCCAATGGATTTCTAGTCCATCGCCTTAACCACTCGGCCACGACTACTGCTCTGCTGTACTGTTTAACACAGCAATGGGATCGACAAATTTGGAGTCATCACATAAGTAATGTGCGCCAACATTGATATCAACACTGTACTGTTTAACACAGCAATGGGATCGACAAATTTTGGAATCATCACATAAGTAATGTGCGCCAACATTGATATCAACAACAAACGTTTACTGTCTCAATGAAACTTTCAAATAATTCAAAATTAGGCCATATAAGGGAATTGTGTTTAATGCTGCACTTGCATTTCGAGTATACATACCATAAATAGACGTAGTCGGCAGGATTCGAACCTGCGCGGGCAGAGCCCAATGGATTTCTAGTCCATCGCCTTAACCACTCGGCCACGACTACAGCTCTGTTGTACTGTTTAACACAGCAATGGGATTGACAAATTTTGGAGTCATCACATAAGTAATGTGCGCCAACATTGATATCAACAATGAAACTTTCAAATAATTCAAAATTAGGCCAAGTAGAGAAATTGCGTTTATTGCTACACTTGCATTTCGTGTATACATACCCTAAATAGACATTGTCGGCAGGATTCGAACCTGTGCGGACAGAGCCCAAGGGATTTCTAGTCCATCGCCTTAACCACTCGGCCACGACTACTGCTCTGTTGTACTGTTTAACACAGCAATGGGATCGACAAATTTTGGAG